TGACAGCCTTGGAGACCCTGTGGGCAGTTCCACTCTGTCCTCTAGGGGCGCTGTGGGTCGGAATGGACTTCTCAACAGTGGGTGTGGTTTGGGCTTTGCTTCTGTGAAGATTGACAGCCTTGGAGACCCTGTTCTACTCTGTCCTCTCGGGAAGCTGTGAGTTGGAGTCCGCTTGACGGCAATGGGTTTTTGGTGTCTTGCCCTTGTCTGCCCTCTCTGCGGGGCTCACCCCAGCGTCTAAGTTGCTGCCCAATGCTCAAAGCCCACTCGCCGTGACTCCTGCTCGTGTACACAACAATCCCTGTGGATACTTCCCCCTGTTACTTCTCTCTTCATTCTTGCCGGTGCCTGACTTTGCTTCCGCCCAAAGACGACTCTGTGCAGCCTCAGTGCAGCCCATCGGCGACAAGCTGGCACAGGGTTGGTTTCTCTGCAATGTCCTTACGTTGCTCCCGTCTCAAAAGGTCTTGACAGACTCTCAGTAGGTGACATGGCCTTGCACTGTCCCCTGGCTTCCACTGTTGGTGTTGGGGCCACCCTTTGACATTTCTCTCTCTCTCTCCTCTGGCTGCTTAAGATCTTCTCTTTGTCTTTGGGTTTCTGCCGTTTCACAGACGTGTCTGAGGATTCACAGGGAAGTGTGTATCCGTGGATTGGTGTCTTTCATCAGCTCTGGGACAGTCTCAGCTAGTATTTTTTCTAAGTATTTCTCTGCCCCATTCTCTCTCCCCTCTCCTTGTGTAGCTTTCATCCGCCTGTGGCCAACCCATAGGGGCATCTCCTTATCTGTTACCTCCCTCCCGTGCTACCCAAACGTGCACCCCACCATGCTCACCATGCCGTAGTCTGCAGGACGGGTCTTCCAACTTACCAGTTCTCTTCAGTCACGTCTGTTCTGTTGCCAAACACATCGGTTGGGTTTTTAATTTTGGTCATTAAAGGTTTTCACTTCTGGAAGTTCTGTTTGGTTGCTTACAAACCTGCTACACAGCCGTTTATAGGCTCCTATGCTCTGTGGGTATTTTTGAGCTTGTCTTTTATTTCCTCCAATGGGGTGGGCGCAGCTGCTCCCCAGCCTGGGTCTGACCCTCCCCACATCTGCAGGCTGTGCAGGGCTGTCTCTGTCGGTTTTCACATATGCTGTCTTCTTCCTCTGTGTGCCTGGTGCTCTCTGATGCACACTCACCAACTCTTGGAAATTTGCCTGTGGAAGTTGCCAGGGCTTAGGATGGAGGCCCCTCCCTAAGACAGGCTGGGTGTTCACTCCTTCCAGGTGCCCAGGGGCACTTCCCGTTGGGCACCACCTCAGCCCTGTGGCTCCTGAATCTGCCTCTGGTCAGCCAGCCTGTGGGTGGGCATCAGTGATGGGCCCTGCCTTCCTCCACTCACCTGCTCCCACAGGAGAGGCCAGATGGCCACTTCTCCTCCCCTGCCCCTGGAAGCTGCCTCCCTGAGCTGGAAGGAGGCTAGGGACCCAGGGGTGAGTTCTCTGAGGGCCACAGTGTCTCCTCCTATCAGAACAGAGTGACCCACGCTCCTGCACTGGGAGGGAACTAGAAGGAAGGAGGAGAAACACAAGTACCTGGCACCCAGTGGACACTGAAGTGACCCCACATGGCAGCTGTGTGACCCTGGGGGACCCTCACTGGCCTCGGCAATCTCACCCAGCTTTGCCTTCCAGGGGTTTATGGAACAGAAGCACTAGGCCCCAGACAGCAGTGCCAGGAAACCCAAAGGCCCAGATTCCAGGGTCCTGGCCCCCATGGTGTCTCCTCAGAGCCTGATGCCCCAAGACCTCACAGAGCTGTCCTGTGCATGGCTCCCAAAGACAGCCACAGCCTGGGCTCTGAGGTAACTGTTCCAAGAGAACTAGACATCAGGCCAGGGCTGGGGGTACCATCCTCAGGTCCAGTGCCCCGACAGACAAGCAGACAGGGGTGTCCACAAAGGCCTGGCCAGGGTCAAGGGGCCTGGAGAGGCCTGTCCTGGAGCGGGAACGGGACAGGAGCCAGCTGCCCAGCCGCCCAGCAGGGCCAGAGAGTGACCCTGCCGGCCAGGAGAGAGGCGGGCTGGGCCAGGGCACCTGTGGCCAGCAGGTGGGATGAGGAGCCACGCAAGCCAAAATGCACCAACCTGCCACTCACCAGGTGGGTACACTGGGCCAGGTCCCCCACCGTCCACGGCCCCAACGCCCACCACGGGGCTGCTAGCAGCAAAGGCTCGCACACACCAGGCCCGTCCCACACACTTGTCACAGCGTCATGTGGAATTGTCACAATGGGGTTTTCTCATGTGGCAGGTGCTGTCACGACACAGGCTTCCTGGGAGAGGAGCCAAGACACCGAGGCATGGTGCAGGTTGAGCTGGCAGGGCCCATGCTATCAGCAGGAGTTCACCAGGGCATTTCAGGCAAAGGGAACAGCCCGCTAAAGGCCCAGAGCTGTGGGGCAGCTCGTGAGTCGGGCAACTCTTCAGCGCTCTCTGTCCCTCCTGCCCCTGGAGCTGTCCTTGGACGTTCTGCTCCTCATCACCTCCACTGGGTGGGAACACCTGGGCGCGGTGGCACAGGCTTGACCGCTCCTTTCCTTGACCCCTCTACCCAGGCAGGCAGAGCAGACCACGGGCAGTTCTCCATACCACCCTTGTCCCAATGCCGATCCCGCGCGCACGGGGCCCACTGTGCACCCCAGCCACCCTCAGCCCACACGTGGCCCGTGCGGGGCTGGGCTCCACCACTGACTGACCACGACTTTGGGCCAGCTTTCCCTTCTGGAGCCAAGGACATTGGCTGACCCATTTGCAGGCTGGTGGTACCAAGGGGGGCAGTTTAGGGGTAAGCCCAGGTGCAGGCAAGAGCACAGGCTTGGGAGCGGGGGTCCTGTGAGCCATCTGGGGGTCTGCGGGCTCAGCTTCTCGTGGGCAGTCACGCTGCGCCTCATAGCCCAGCACACAGCCACACGCTGGCCTCTCAGGAGGCAACGGCTTCCTCCCACAGTGACTTCTGAGCCGGCCTCTGGGTTCTGCAGGTGAGGATGAAGGTGCGCACAGCCCGTGTAGGGGGAGGGCGAGCCCACAGTCCCTCGCATTCTGGTTCCCAGCTCCCAGTGTCACTCATTCATTTCAAAACGGCAAATGCTGGACTGCCTGGTCAGGCAGCTTGGAGACTACTCCCTGCCAAGAGCCAAGAAGATCAAAAACTCAAGGAAACAGTGCCAAGGATGAACGGACCACACGAATCCCAGCCTCCACGACCCCGAGACAGAACTAGACGGTGCCCAGCTACCACTGCTGGCAGCTCTTAAAGGGATCACAATAGGTGGTCTCGGAGACAGTGGGGGCAAATGTGGAACAATACCCAAAATGGAAAAAAAAAAGGCTTACTGGTCCAATAGGGGCTGGTGGAACTCCCGAAACCAAGGCCCTTGTTCACTCTTTAAGCCTGGAACTGAACTCACCCCAATGACTCCTCTCTGAGCTGAACAACAGGCAGGCTATAAAGTGACCAATAAGCCCAGGGAGGTCTGCAAGCCTTCGAACCACCAGCTGCCCGAGGTCAAAGGGCAGGGTTGGGCCACGGATAAAGCTCAGAGGGCAGGAAGGGGCAGGAAAGCAGAGGAGGAAACACAAACGGAGGAAGTGGGCAGGCAGCTGTCACACCGTGGGCACGCGGTCAGTGCCACAGAACAGGATGTGTACAGACCGCTGAAGGGAAGATGAGTCTGCTCTGTGAACTTTCACCCAAATTATAATAAAGAGCAATTAAAAGAGAAACACCACTCTGCAAGAAAGCCTTTGGAAAATGAAATGGGGGTGGGGCACAGTACACGCCCACATTCTTCATCAACACTGTCTCTAAGAGGGGGCGGGCTCTCCAAGGAGCAAGGAGCACGCCGCAGGGCTGACTGTGCAGGCACGCAGGCACATCCTTGGAAGGACGCAGGCACAGGGCGGCCTCCTTGGGAGCCAACGGGCAGGCCTGAGGGACCCTGAGTGCCCAGGAAGGTCAGGACTCAGGGCCGCTCCACAGCGACCGGCTTGGGGAAGAACTGAACCTTGAGGGCCAAGGTGTGGGTGCTGTTTGCCCCAAGTGCAAGGGAGGGTGACAATCTACAAGGCCCAGCATCCCCCCACTTTGTCCCACAGGCCCACTCGGCCCACTCAACAGATAAGAAAACTGAGGCTACAGAAAAGAGACTGCAAAGGCCCCAGGGGAGCCCGCGATCGGGCTGGGACCGGAAGCCACTTCCAATCTCCAAATCCCAGGGGGCAGAGGCCAGTGTGTATGTGCTCAGCAGGAGAGGCCTTGTGGGTACAGACAGGCCATTTGACGGGCACCCAGACTCACACTGGGGCCCGTGTGAGGACAGTCTGTACCTGGCATTCCTACTAAGTGAGTGGTCGGTCATACGAACACATCCCACACAGCAGCACACAGTGGGAAAGGAAACCAAACCAGAGACCTTCCATCCAGGGGTGGAGTCACAGAGGTGCATGCTGGGTCAGGGAGCAGGACATCCCCTCTCCTGGGCCCGGGGCTGGCAGGAAGGTGGGGGAGATGGGGAGGCAGGTGAGGGCCCCCCCAGACAAGGGACCCTGGAGCAAGAGGCAGACACATGGAAGTAGGACAATCTGCACACCAGCCCTCAGCCAGCAACGAAGCCAAGTGGGTGACCAGGCTGCAGTCGGGCCCTGAAGTCCTTCCCGTCATGTCCCAGTGCCCCCTCCCCATCCCCTGGGCCTGAAGACCCTGCTGGACAGATACCTACACAGCAGATGCGACCTTCTTCACCGCTCACAGCACACCGTAGGCCGAGTGTTCTCACACCCTCTTTAAGACGGGGAAACTGAGTCTTGGAGACGAACGGCAACTGGCCCAAGCTCCAGCTAGTGTGACAGCAGAGCTGTGCCCGGGGCCCAGGCTCCAGGAAGGCAGAGCCAGGCTCCCACCCTCTGCCAGGGGCCACCCCCTACCCAGGGGTCACCCTCTGCCCGGGAGCCACCCTCTGCCTGGTGGTCACCCCAGCCTGGTGTGGCCTCCTCACGTCTACCACATCTCCCCACTGATGCCCCTACCAGGGACGTCTCCTCACCCACAGGCCTGCCTCCTCTGGAACCTTCCAAGGCCACAGAGACTTCACCTCTCATGAGCTGTGGCACCTGTGGTCTCACCCTGACTTGGTCCCATCCTGGTGGGTAGGGGTTCACTGGCTTGCCCTGATCCAGCCTTGCTCCCAGCCCAACTCCTTGCGGGTCCTTCCCCACTGCACCGCTCCTGTACCCAGCAGATACTGAAGCAGTGGACAAGCAGGGGCACAGAGGACTGGGGCCACAGAGGGAGTGGGCCAGGGATGAACAAGCCGGGCCCAAAGCCTGTGTGCTTGCACAGGGCTCCCCAGGGAGAGCAGAGGGGCACAGAGGACTGAGGCCACAGAGGGAGTGCGCCAGGGATGAGCAAGCCGGGCCCAAAGCCTGTGTGCTTGCACAGGGCTCCCCAGGGAGAGCAGAGGCCCAGGACTCCGGCCCCTGGGGCTGCCCCGTCTCACGCCCCCAGGGCTCACGGTCTCCAGAACCCAGCAGGCCAGGAGCGGCGAGGTAAGAGGGACTGGGCCACACACACTTGTCGCTGAGACAACCAGGGAAACTGCACAGCAGGACGTTTATTGAGCATCTGCGGTTCCAGCCAGGTACTCTCAGGAATCAGTCTTCGTGCCCTGAGACGGACTTTGTCCCCATTTCACAGATGAGGAAACTGACACCCAGAAAGTGGTGGAGGCCGTCGGCCAGGCCTGGCTTCCAAGCCCACGCTCTCCCAGCAGCCCCCACCTTCACCCTGAAGACGAGGGGAGCTCGGCTGGCGGCGTCCAGAGCCCCCACACTGGGAGGCTCAGTGCCAGACCTTCACGTCCCCCTCCCAGGAGCAGGTGGCAAGGACAGAGGGCAGCACGGGGTGGAAGGTGGTGCCGACACAGGCCTGCGTGTGCCCCTGCAGCGTGTGTGCCCGGCTGGCTGTGCGAAAGCTGTATAGCAGGACCCGGCCATCGGCGCTGCCGGTCACCAGCAGGTCCCCATCAGGGGAGCACTCACAGCCCACTGAGTAGCCTTCCACCTGCAGAGGGCGACACGGGGACGGGGTGAGTGGGCAGGACCTGGTGACGCCCTCTATGCCCCAGGCAGGCCTGTGAGGCAGCAGTGTTTCGCGCATTCTCAGAGGGGCAGACTGAGGCCTGAGAGGGGAAGGCACCACGCAGGGCCCAGAGCAGGCAAGGGGCAGAGCTGGGTCCGAGCTCCTCCAGGGGCTGGGAGGCCCTGCTGTGGGCCTGTTGTACAGTTATCTGTTGTTGTTGTTGTTATGTGCTGTCAAGTCGGCCCCGACTCATAGCGGCCCCTCCTTGGGTTTCCAAGGGGGTATCACTATGGAAGTAGATTGCCCAATCTTCTTCCAGGGAGTGGCTGGTGGGTTTGAACCGCCAGCCTTCTGGTTAGCAGTCAAGTGCCTTAGGCACTATGCTACCAGAGCTCCTGTACACGTACACAGTTATCTGAGGAAGTTCAAAGGACAACTGCTCATGCTTGGCCTGAGGGCCGATTCTTCAACTCCGCCCCGAGGGGCAGGCCTCAGTGGAGATGAAGACAGGTGTAGATAGGCCCCCCGCCCCACTCGAGCCTCCTTTCCCACCCATGACCTGTTCATGCGAGCAGAGCTAGGGGTGGGCCCAGGGGTGGCCCCGAGTGGACGCTGTGACACCTGCCCACACAGACGGTCTGTGCTTCCCAGGCCGCGTCCCTGCTGGCGCTGTCGGGAGGAGGCTCTGGGGACATCTTGCGTTCAGCCCAGGGGACAGGGACAGGGGTACCTTGTGTCCCTCGTAGCGTCGCCGTCTGCTCATCCGGTAGGGCCACACGGCAGAGAAGAGGGCCAGGTAGTTGCCGTTGGTCTGTGCCAGGAAAACAGGCTCCCGTGGGTGCAAGGTGAGGCTGGGGCAGGTGTATCTCTCCTGAGGGACAGAGGGCCACAAGGGGGGTTAGAGACTCAAACCTCTGCCCCCCACAGACACCCACCTGGTGCTGGGCCTCTGAGGCCCTGTCCCTCCCTCTGCCCTTGGCTTTGGTCTGTATGAGTCCCCTGTGGCTGCTGTAACAAACAAACATAAGCTTGGCGGCTCACACTCCACACACTTACTGTCTCACGGCTCTGGACGTCAGAAGGGTCTCACTGGGCTCAAGTCAGGGTGTCGGCAGGGCTGCTCCCTCTGGGGGCTCTAGGAGAGAACCCATTCCTGGCCTTTTCCAGCTTTTACACACTGTATTCCTTGGCTCCTGGCCCTTGTGACAAACTGGCAAATGGCCCAAAAGATATCCATGCCCTAACCCCTGGA